TCAGCTTCATGTCTAGCATGAACTCTTTCTGTTTGGGAGTTAGTGTCTTTACCGCCTGGTGGATCTGTTTCAAAGTCCATTCATCTCCCAGGCACATCAATCACTGCACACAATTCTAGTCAGCCATTTTGCTCTTGGCACCATTCAACAGCTGCAGTAAGGTCCATGCCAGCTTCTTCTGGCTCGTTATTTAGATTACTGGCACTCAGAACAGAGGGATCCCAGACAAGATCCCACATGTAGCGTTCCAGCATCCAGTAAAAGTTATTCCACCACTCCCCCTCTCCCTCAGTGTCCTATAGGAACTGTAGTGTAAGGGTCCATGAGTCACATTTTATGGTTGATGTCTTGGAATTCAATTCCCATGATCCTCAGCTTTCTGTAAAGGCTTATCTGGCTATAGCTCTCACCCTGCTGAATGGAAGGGATAATGCAACAGAAGGTCCAACACAACAGTAGAAAGTGAAAGTAAAACTGTCTGTAAAGGGGACAATGCCCCCTTTGCTATGTTTCTGTAGTTAAGCACTTGACTACACTACTGCACCACCTAAGTGAGAGTTTCACAGATACCCATAAACCTAAAGGATCATCTTAAAACAATATAAGAGAGTGCATACACTTTGGCTTGACTTACTTTAAAGAATAATTTAAGCAATGTTTAAGACAATAAATACTTTGGCCAAGTGAAAGTATTGTATAGTAGTAGGCACTTACTGTATGTATAATACAAAGCAGTGCATTTGGTCAGACCTTTGTGTCATAGTGCCCCTTATATTGATGGTTATCAGGCCAAAAGGATGGTTGCAGTTTGTGGTCAATAGAACAAAATACCTGGTAGTGGTGCTCAGCAAGAAGAAAGTAAAGATAGTGTCTGTGATTGGTGGTATGAATAATGCTCAGAATTGGTGGTCAGTAGGGGGGTAGAAATTGCGCATCAGAGGTCAGTGGGAGCACAATACCCCAGCCGAAGGAAAGGAGAAACTGGGTGAAGTCTGAAATGTGCTGGCCTCTCCCAAGGAGTAAGTAGCCGAACCAGCAAGTGTCTTGCAGTAAAGAGCTGCTTTCTCAGAATTTCAGGTTGAACTAAAGACCCTCTATCTGTGAAGATGGTAAGTATTTTTTGTCCCTTATCTGGAGATTGCCTAGTCTATGGGTGTCCTGCGCTGGAGATTGCCTAGTCCATGGGTGTCCGGTGCCCTAACCCTCTCCTTTCACCCAAAAAGCCTGTGTTATGACATCAGGTCAATGATGTAACAAGCATTCCCACCTCTTACTGTATGTGCAGCTGCAGGTCTGGGAATGTCCTGGCTACACTTTACTGGGACAGCACTGACAGTTCCTTCCAGGTTCAGCCAAACATGGGTTCAGGCCAAACCTAAACTTATTTTTAGTTGTGGTTCACATATTCATCTCAAGGCTTAATTTTCAGTATTGTTGGAATTGTATCTTAAATACAAAACAGGTAAAGGTATATTCTCTGCTCATAGTTTCCACTGTGCTACCCTGGACACCAAGAAAAGATAAATCCTATTATGCAGAATGAATTCAGTGAAATGAAAATGCACCTACCCCACCTCCCATAGTCTGCACGTGCAGTCTAAATAAATCAATAACTAAAAATGTAAGAAAATCAAGAAAATAACCTAAATTGTCCATAGGTCTTTTGTACATTAAAAGACATGGGTCACTGTGACAGAAAGCCAAAGGCCTAGCTGCTGACTACCTGTTTGTGCAAGTAGAAATACGTTTCTAATAAGGAAGGTGATAAGAATTACAAGAACAATTTCTATCCAGCCTGCATCTGACTCACAGCATACCCAGCAGCCAGTCTTTCCCCACTGCTGAGAATTTATTACAAAAACTACCCTTGATTAGGGCAATTTTCTCTTCTCTTTTCTGAGAAAGCTCATCTGGCAGAGCATACATGTCACATCTAGAACAGAAATGTAAAAGTAAGTGACAAGAGCAATGAGTATCTGTATTGCCAGAAAATAGATGGTAAAGATTGTATTTCCTAGCAATTCATACAGTTGGTGCTGAAATAACAAATTTTATGTCTAGTAGATTATGGTTGTTTCTACTTTCACTCTGCACCACCAAATTCAGAAAGAGTGTTTTGTCACGTTTAAGCATGTTAAAACATGTTTTTGAAAAAATATTAAAGGGAAATAGCTGACATGAATGTTGCTTCTGTTTACTTTATAACACAAGTCAGATTAAAGTGACTCTGAATATGTAAATTAAATCTGTTCTTGTAAATAAAATGTAAATACTTACCTCTCCTGGTGTTTTTGTCTTGTAGGGATGTGGTGGCCTTCTGGAGGAACCACTAAAGACAGGGTTCACATGATTTCAGCACTCCTGGAGGTGTCTGTCACCCCAGACCCAGTTTACCTAATCACTGCCATACTAGTCAGTGTCACAATAAGGACACCTTTACATGTGCAATGCTCTCTGAAGAGTAATCCATGTTTTGATCACTCTTTAGACAGCATTTGACAAAAATTTTAAAAATATCTTGTCAAATTGACAACTTTGTGCAAAAATAAACAATTTTCATTTTGCATAAACTGGTGGCAAAGAAGACTTCAAAAGACCCATGATACTCCTTAAAAAATATCTTGGGGAGTTTACTCTCCAAAATGTGGTCATTTTGTGGATGTTTCTACTATCCTAGTGCTCCAGGGCCTCAAAAAATGTGATAGGTAGTAAGGAAATTAGATGCATAATTTATGCCCCTGAATCTTGGCTTTTTGGCCTCTCTGTGTGGCTAGGCTGTGAAAAAGTCTCAAGCATGTGGTATTGCCATACTCGGGAGGAGTAGCAAAATGTGTTTTGGGGTGTATTTCTAAGTATGCCTATGATGTATGAGAAATAGCTTATTAATTGACATCTTTAAGTAAAAAAATACATTTTCATATTTTTCCTGTATTTTAAAAATACTTCTGGCAAAAAAAATGACATTTTCAAAAGACTCATTATGCCTTTCAGAAAATACCTTTGCTTTCCCGAGGCTCAAGGAATATGATAGGTAGTCAGGAAATGAGACGCATATTAATGCTCCTTAAAAGCCCAAAGGTGCTCCTTGGATTTGTGGGCCCTCTATGCATCTAAGCTGTCAAAAAGTCTCCAACACATGGTGTCCCCATACTAGGGAGGCATAGAAGAATGTGTTTTGGGGTGTAATTGTTAGTATGCCTATGTTGTTTGTGAGAAATAACAACTTAGTGAAAAAAATAAATAAATATTTTTTTTTCATTTTCTAACAATATTGACATGAAGTTACAACTTCAAAAAACTCACCATGCCTCTTACTACATACCTTGAACTGTCTACTTTCCAAAAAAGGGTCATTTGAGGGCTATTTGTACTGTCCTTGCATTTTAGGGCCTCAAGCAATAAGAGAATCAGTCAGTACATCAGAGTTGATCAATTTTTAAATATATGTTGTATATACCATAGTTTCTAGACACTATAACTTTCAAACACACTAAATAATATACACCAAAGAATAGATGTTTTCAAATTTCAGGTAATGTACATTTTACTTGGTGTATCTTTGGTGATTTCCAATTAATTTGGATTTATACAATTGGAATTCTGGACAATTTGGGGACAAATCCTAGTTCTAGGCAAGAGAAAGTGTTACTGTTTCTGCTGAGAGGTGTATCCAATAACTAAAGTATGTCTATGCTCCTAAGAGAAAGAAAGTTATTTTTATCTTTTATATTTTACATTTATATTTTGTATATTATCTTTTGTCTGAAGTGCCCTTTAAAGAAAGCGTTTCTGCTTAAATAAAGTACTAATTTTCTAAACTTCTGAACATTATCCACAGCTCAAAGGAGAGATGAGCCAACAGTGAACTAATTTTAGTCATCATGAAGTTCCTGTTCACTGAATTTTTTATCTATTAAACAGTGGCACAAATGCATAATCCATGTAATCTGATTAAAAACAAACATTTATGCTAATGCTGCACTTAATTCACTCCTTTTCTTTTGCAAGTGGAATGCTTCACAATTTGAAGCACATTTCCTACCTAAATAGATTATTTCTGAATTGTATAAATACTCAGTTGTATTGTTTTGTTTTTACAACATTGATATTCCATGTGGAATTAAAGTCAATTTAGAAAAATAAAACAAAGTATGTACAATAAAGACAGCAATAACAGGAAAACACAGGAAATGAAGCAATGAGGGGGTCACAGTCTGATGATATAATAAGACTGTTAACACCAGCATATGTAATTATGAGGGGAATGAATTCAAAGGGGATACATTTTCTCAGTATTTGTCACTTAAATTTTTCTCTCTATCACAGCTCCTTTCCATGCTGGACACATCCAGAAGTGATCCTTTATTAATTCTTAAAAAAATCTTTCATAAAGGACTTGTAGAGGCTGGCATTACTGGATCCTCCTAGGGAAAATGTCTTGGTTGTCTTATTGATTCTCTGGCCAAGTTGCTGACCTGAAATAAGTATACAGCTATGGAGCTATAACTGTATTTGAATGACAATTGCGCGGTCATGCAACACTGTACCCATATGAAATTTTTATAATTTTTTTGAGACAGATAGAGCTTTCTTTTGGTGGTATTTAATCACCTCTGGGATTTTTATTTTTTCTTAAACAAACCAAAAACTACTGAAAATTTTGAAAAAAAAAAGTTTTTTCTTAGTTTTTGTTGTACAATTTTGTAAATAAGTGATTTTTCTCCTTCACTGATGTGCGCTAATGAGGCTGCAGTGGTGGGCACTGATAGGCTTCGCTGATGGACACTGATAGGTGCCACTGATGGGCACTGATGAGGAGGCACTGGTAGGTTGCACTGATGGGCATTGACAGGCATCACTGATGGGCACTGAAAGGCAGCACTGATACATGACACTGATATATGGCACTGATATATGGCACTGATAGGCAGCACTGACTGCCACTGATAGACGGCACTGATAGGCAGCACTGACTGGCACTGATAGGCAGCACTGACTGGCACTGATGCGCACTGATAGGCGACACTGATTAGCATTGATAGGTGGCACTGACTGGCACTGATGAGTGACATTGAAAGGCAGCTCAGATGGGCACTGATATGTGGCATTGATGTGCACTGGTATGCACTGATATGTGGCATTGATGTGGCACTGATGGGCACTGGCACGTGGCACTGATGGGCACTGGCACGTGGCACTGATGAGCACTGACAGGTGGCACTTCTGGGGCCACACTGATCATCAGGGCACACTGATCATCAGTGCTCTGATGATCAATGTACATGTCCGCTCCGCGGAAAGCCGATTACCGTCTCTCCTCTCGAGCTGTCAGTGTGACAGCTCAAGAGGAGAGAAATGCCGATAATTGGCATTTCCGTGTTTACATGTGATCAGCTGTGATTGGACACAGCTGATCACATGACCGAGCCGACATCTTCGGCTCTTTCCGTGATCCACTGTGTCCGAGGGATGCAGCGCACCGGCGATTGCCGCGCTGCACGCTCCCTGAGCCGCGCATGTGCAGTGAGAATGGTAGGACGTCTTTTGACGTCCTATCAGAACGAGAGAACCACCTTGCGCCCATTTTTGTACTATAGGGTGGGAAGGTGGTTAAAGGTCATCTCTGGGAAACTTGAAAATTCTTCCTTGCAGAGTGACTGCAAGGGTAAACTGCTTGTTTTGGTCTAGGGGGCATAGAAAAGAAGATTTACTTACCCAATCCTCTGCTCCTCCATGCTGCTAGACTGGTACCTGCAATGTCTCCTTCCCCATGCTCCAGAAGTCTAAGGTCCTAACATCATCGAGACCAATGCAGGGTCCATAGCCCTGCATTGGACATGATGACATTGAGGAACATTTCACCATAGAAGCATGGAGGAGCTAAATCTGCTGAGTAACACAGGATTGGGTAAGTGAAATCCTTTTACTCTTTCCTAGACCTAAGTGAGCAGTTAATCCTTGCAGTGTGTGCACAGGCCCACTGCAAGGACTTTAAGATTTCCAGGGGCTGGGCTCTAAAACGACTGCCACTAAAATAAAAATGCTCAAAAATGTACCTTCTGCAAAGGAGGTTAAAGCTGACGTTTAGGGTGTTTTATTTGGTATACAGCAACAGGGACCTAAAGTGGTTCTAAAGCCTTACAGTTTTTCACCTTAATGCATTCCTGTGTCCATGTGAAAAGTGAATCTAATGGGAGTTGCTTTATAATTGTCAATCCGCTGTTGTATTTACAAAGCTCTAATGAGGATAATTGCAGGGCCTGCTTCCATTTAGACGTGATTTCACCAAAAATGACATTTTTGTTGCAGGGGATGCTAAAAATATGACTTGTATCTTAGTGCAGACTTCTGGGAAAATCAGTGAGCCAATCACATAAGCAGGAAATTACATATCTGGGGGGCGTTCTGTATACCATCTGTGAACAGAATGCCTTCAGGCAGGCATATTGCATTGCATTTTACGGCAAATTACAGAGCTGCAGATTGAAAAGGAAAGGTAAGTTTTTAATAAAATTCAATTACAAAATGATTTGTATCACAATTGTATATGCTATTTTTTTTTTCCCATGAAAGTGGAGTTATCCTCCACTCGTATCCTCGTCAGCCTATCCCACGAGGATAGGCTCAACCATCATTTGTTGTCAGAAAGCATTCATACATTTTAGTCTGGCACCTACCCCTTCCCCTTTGCTCCTCATAATGGGAAACCCAGATTTCTTTCCAGGCTGGGAGGCCCTTCTTTACAGAACTTACTTTCTGCCAACATATACAATGCCTCTCATTTCTGGCATAGCTCTGGATGGCCATCAATTGCTCCTTTAACCTTCCCTACAGGCCCCTATCAACTCCCTTTCTAAAATGTGCTACAATTTCCCCACCTTCTTACATCCCTCCCTCCTGTAGCTAATTTTATGTGCCCCTAATGAGCTTCAAGAGCTCATGTTCAACCTTTGTTCCCCTGAGACACACTTTATCACTCTTACACACCCAACTGATTTCTCTCATATTCTCCTTTCTTCTTTGTCTCCACATAACCTCCTTACTTCCCCTTACTTATCTTGCAACCATGTTTGTCTTGAGGCTATATAACCTTCCACTTTACACCCTTTCAACTTCAGGAAAATTGACCTTTCCAGCCAGGGAGAGTCTTTATTCTTTGGTTACCATTGACCTTTGATTTTATATGTTTTTGGACATAAAACTTGTCTAACATTATATGGCTTGCATTTCCCTGTACTTGGTTAGTCCCTATGGTGTTACTCAATTTACTGGAATAACTGCCACCTGGAATAGGACAAGCTGTAATGGACTCATTTATGTTAAGCCATGTATTTCTTCTAGACTATACACTTTCTGAAAAATAAAGAATTTGAAAAAATAAAAACAATTGAAAGCAACTTTTGAAATTAAACTAACAGGTTAAAGCTTATATGAGATTTTAGTAAATGAGTTTATATCTACTTTATATCACATAAATAGATCCTCATGTCTCTCAGGTACCATGGTGGTGAGATGTCTGTGCTTGAGCTCTCAGGTTTGTGAAACTTGCTATAGAAATTACTAATCTTACTATTGGACATTTTATTGTAAATTGTGCAGAAGTCAACATGAGTAGAAATATTTGGATCAACACTGAGATCTTATCGCTGGAGACTGTAACAGACCCAACCAGGACAGGGGCTTTTGGATGGGGTGGCAGGCTAACCTCTTGCCTACTGACTATGGGCCCTGGCATTTATAGGGGCTCTATTCTTTGGGAGGCGTGTACCTGCTGGACCTTTGGAGTAGTTTTACTTCAGAATCAAGTCCATGACTCCTCGAAACACACAGACTTCGAAAACTGGAGGACCTGAATACAGATTTGGAACCTCTGTGTTTTGTTGGGGTATAGAATCAACATCCTAAACCAGCATTGACTGTTTCAATCCCCTCTTAGACTCAGAGACTCAAATTAGAAGATTATAATTGTCTCAAAACAACCTGATGCTGAGGTCTCTTGCACCTGTTTATTAACGTGTTATGTGTTTACTGTTATAATGTGTACCTGAGTTTGCCTGTCCTGTCTAGGTGTGAAGTGTCTTTCTCCCATTGTGTAATTTCCCCATTGTGTGTGAATTCCCATTGCTAATTGGGAAGCCTATTGTTTTTGTCTGTTTGCTACTCTTCCTGGAGATTCCTACGGGATGTGTCTTGTGTCCACTTTACCTCCTTACCTACCCTTTGAAGGATGTTTACCCCATTGTGTAATATTTGTTACATAGTTACATAATTAGTCTAGCTGAAAAAATACACAAGTCCATCTAGTTTAACCATAAAAGGGAAGAAAAAAATTAATCCTACACCCACAGTTGATCCAGAGGAAGGCAAAAAAAACCCCAGCAAAGCATGACCTAATTTGCTCTTGCAGGGGAAAAAATTCCTTCCTGATTCCACGAGAGGCAATCAGATATTCCCTGAATAAACTTTACCTATAAATGTTAGTGTCCAGTTATATTCCGTGTATCTAGGAAAGAATTCAGGTCTTTTTTAAAGCAATCTACTGAGTGGGCCTGAACCAACACTTGAGGGAGTCTATTCCACATTTTCACAGCTTTTACTGGGAACAAACCTTTCCATATTTGGAGATTAAATCTCCTTTCCTCCCGACGTAAAGAGTGCCCCCTCGTCCTCTGTGAATAACTCCACACTGAGTCCACTATATGGACCACTTATGTATTTATACATGTTGATCATATCCCCCTTAATCTCGTCTTCTCAAGAGAGAAAAAAATCAGTTCCTCTAATCTTTCCTCGAAGCTGAGCTACTCCATGCCTCTTATCAGTTCCCCGATCTTCTTTTTGTGCATATTCCAGATGATGTCTTACTAATGACATGCACAGGGATATAATTCTATCTCTGTTTCTCTCTCTCTGGACTCTATACCTCTTTTAATACAAGAGAGGACTGCATGCCATTATAAAGCTTATGGTCTACCAGAACACCCAGATCCTTCTCCACCATTGATTGCCCCAGTTGTACTCCCCCTAGTATGTATGATGCATGCATATTCTTAACCCCCAAGTGCATAAATTTACATTTAACAGCATTAAACTTCATTTGCCCAATTAAACAGTGCATTTAGGTTGGCTTGTAAGTCAGAGATATCCTGTAAGGATGTTACTCAACTGCAAAGCTTGGTGTCATCTACAAACACTGAAATGGTACTTTTAATCCCAGACCCTATATAATTTATAAACATATTAAAAAGTAAGGGTCCCAACACTGAACCTTGGGGTACACCTGTAACAACCCTAGACCATTTAAAGTATGAATTATTAACCACTACTCTCTGAATTTGGTCTTTTAGCCAGTTTTCTATCCATTTACAAACTGATTTTTCTAAGCCTGTAGACTTTACCTTACACATTAGCCATGTGTGGGGAACTGTGTCAGACCCTTTTGCAAAATCCAAGTATATGATATCTACAGCCACCCCTCTGTCCAAGGTCATGCTTACCTCCTCATAAAAAGAAATCAGATTTGTTTGACAACTTCTGTCTTTCAAGTATCTATACTGTCTGTTGCTTAAAATATTTTTTTTTTCAGCAAGAACTCATCTATGTGGTCTTTTATATTTTTATCATTAATGTGATGATTGCCCCTATTTTTGAAGTGTATAAAAACCTGCATTTCTGTTAAATAAGGAGTTCCTTTGGTTTTACCTCAACATCTTGTCTGTATATGATGCTTGGGGTAAAGGGCTGGTATTCGCTATTGGTCTGCTGTAAGGGTTTGGAAGGCAGTTGGCACTGTTTGCAGAGGCAGCCAGTCAGGGTGTCAGGTGGTCCATCACAGAGACAATGTGTGACAAGGCTTCTGAAGACATCAGCATTGCTGACGAAACGCGTCAAGCGGAACATCCGGTGCGTAACTTCTGGTTTAGCATGGAACACTCGCTGAGCAATCGGTGCCTCTTGTGTAATTGGAAGAGTGATTGCTTACATGATTGCCTAAATGTTATTTATCTATGGGCATATACCTTTTATGTAACTTTTTTTACACTAAAAAGATAATCCCTCTTCCCTTTTTTTGGATTATATGCCATTTAAAAGCCAGTGGAATATTGTCTGGCCATTTGATGAGGTCATAACAGAGAGAGGTGTCGAGCAAGGAGTTGAGGTGACCACAAAGTGCTATATGACTTTTCTTGTTGTATAGTGTAGTGTTTCTAATCCTCACTCACAGTGGGAACATTAGATAAAGGCACTTTTTTCACTTTCCATGCACTTTTTCTTTTTAATTGTGTTGGAGTTTATAGAATATGCATGATTTGGGACTTTGCACTTACATATGATATGTGGAATCGTATTAAAAAGTTTTTGTATTTATTTATTTTCGTTATGTTTTTATGAGTATATTTGGGTATAGAGTTTGTTTACACATACTTGATGAAGCCATTGGT